CCATGTGCACCAGATAGGGTACCTGGGGGATCTTCAAGTGGATCTGCTGTTGCAGTAGCAGCAAAGCTTGTAGATTTCTCCCTAGGTGAGCCTTTTCTTCTTGGAAGGGATCTTGGGTTTCTTGGTTTGTCTTTAAATTTGTTAAAGTGAATTGTTTGTTTCTTCATAGGAACTGATACTGGTGGAAGTGTCAGAGCCCCTGCATCTTATTGTGGAATTCTCGGGTTTCGACCTTCACATAATGTTGTCTCTACTGCTGGAGTTACTCATTTGGCACAGAGTTTTGATACAGTCGGTAAGGATTAATTTCTGTTAGTGATCTTGCATATTTTTTCTGATATTAATGATATTATTAGGGTTGGGTGCCTCAAATTTTCAAAGCAGTCATCTCTGAGGCCTCAGCCTGTCATTTAACTATGAGACTATGACTTCTCTGATAATATCTGATACTTTTAAATCATAGATTCTGAAGGACAATCCATCTCATAGAGTTCTTTAATTTAGTGAGACATTCTTTTTGACATACAATTATCATATAGGATGGTTTGCTAGGGATCCTTTGATTTTGAGTCGTGTTGGGCATGTCCTGCTGCATTTGCCTATGGTGGATCCTATCAAACCAATCCAGGTTATTATTCCAGAGGATTGTTTCTCCCTGTCAAGCATTCCGAGCAATCGAACAACTGAAGTTCTTATAAAATCAGTGAAGAAGCTTTTTGGCGGTAAGGTTGATTTTTCTACCTATGGTCTGTGTAGCAGATAAAATCCATACAATTTTAGCCGTGGAATTCCTTTATGCCATGGATACAAGAATCCTGAATTGGAGTGTAAAAGCCCCTAAAATTACATATTCTTTAATCTTGAGCCTTTTAATAGAAATTTATATTCATTAACGAAAATTTCTGTCTTGTGCAAACTAAGGATGCTGTTATTTTGCTGCATTTAACATTCAAATTCTTTGGGAATGTGAATCAATTTGTTAAGTTGTAGATCAGTTGCCATTTTAAGCGTCTTGCCTATGCAGATCATATTGTAAAGCATGTTAACCTTGGGGACTACGTGAAGGATAAAGTACCAAGCTTGCAAAAATTCACGAATGTGGGAGATGGAGATCCTCTATATAAAATAGCATCACTGGCTGCCCTTTCAAGTGCATGGAGTTTGCTCGTAAGGTGCAAAGAATTCTAAAACTTTCAATAACCTTCACATTTCTCATAATCATGCTAGAGGTCAGGGATTCTTGATTATTGCTTTTTGAGCATGTTCGTTGTTTGAAATATAGGTATGAATTCAAGAATAATCATGCTGAATGGATCACTAGAGTGAATCCTGATTTAGGTCCAGGAATATCTGAACGGGTATGGGAAGCTGTTAGAACAACAGGAGAAAATATTGATGCTTGTCACTCTGTAAAAATCGAGTTTCGTGCTGCCCTTTCTGCTCTCATAGGGGTACTTTTCC